ACCGATTGGTAATTTTGGAGAACGTTACTGACTTGTAATGGATATCTTGTGCAAATACAACTCTTCATCTGTCTGTTTAGGAATTTTTAGGCTTTCTTCAGTCACTGCTATCACATTAGTAATCAACCTGACCGCCATAGTCTCCCCTAACGCCAACCACTGCGGCATACAACTACAGCATCCACTCTGGCCAATCAGATTCAAGGATTTACTCGAGTTTCGATTGGTTACCATCAATCTGAAGAAAGTTTTCAACTGTCCACAAATTAACTGAGAAACCTCTTATTAGCGCGGAATCCCGCCGCATAAACGGATATTGGAAGACCACCTTCAGTGAAATCAGTCAGATATGCTAGATCGATCGTGTCCGGCAAATGAATCCAGCAGATACATCGCAGATGGATTTATCACGTACTTTTTCTCATGGTATATTCTCTTGGCTAATTGCACCGCCACAGTGTTTAGCGGTCTGTGTTTTTTTGTTCTTGTTCGGCATCCACGTGTATTTGCATCGTCTACACGTGCATGGTTCATGGCAATCACAGTGAGCGATCTGTTTACTCTGTTGCTTGCGGCGAATGATATGTACGCCGAAGTGATGTTTCCCAAAGGCTATCATCGAATTCTATTCACCTTATTTGGTCGATATAACTGTTTGGTTCGGATCAGTCTCATTTTGTGCTTAGTTTGGAGTTCAAATCTGCTTCAAACCGGTCTATCATTGGAACGTTTAGCCTCTGTGATCGCTCCACTGAAAACACGAGCACTGACGACCGGTCGTCTAACGCGATTCGCAATCCTCGGCATTGTGATTTTCTCCTGTGGAATGGCTATCGGAGTGAACATTTTATCGTATGATCCAAGATTCACGGAGGAACGTGACACAAAAGGAGAACTTGATTACGAGACATTGACTTCCTGCGACCGAGCAAACGGTTCAACCCTACTTGGTGAAATGAATGTGGATTTGGATTTAACTAAATTGGTTTACCATTTAGATCTCATTGTGTTCCGAGCGGTTCCGTTTGGCACAATGCTTATCTCGTCTGCGGTGATTGCCTCCCTTATCCGATGTCAACATCGTCGTCGCAGCAAACTGATGGGTGCGAATACCGTCCTGCAACAACGGCATTTATACAGCGGAAGCAGTCGAGAATCCCAAGCCTCATTACTTCTACTCACCATGAATTTAACCACACTGATCACAAATCCACTGTTTCTTATCTTTGAGTTGATTGATGGCGAAGGAAGTGAAGGCCGCACGGCGGGTAAACTTACTGGAAATACATGTGTAACTTGGGTGCTACGTCAAACATTCAATTGGCTTCTCTACTTCAACAATCAAACCAATTGGGTGTTTTACATCGCATTTGGTGCTCGATTTCGTCATCATATAACCAATCTGTTCCGTTGTCGCAGTTCAAGTGCTCGAGGCAGGCAAACTAAACGTTTGACTATTGGAAAACATACATTGTTAGCCAGTCAGACGCAGTATCATTGCACCGGTGATGGTCGTGCAATGTCTGCGGATACCACAATTTATGAGGAACGGATGGAACAAATCAAACCGGCAGGTTATACCCGAATTTCCGTGTGTGAAAGCACCCCCCTGAGGGTAATGAGTGCCGGGGCTCGTAGTTGACTACTAGATGTCCGTTCAAAAAGAACCAATAAATCATTTGCAAAGCAAATAACCTGTTTGCGCGAACACTGTCTCCGGAATGCCACCCCAGTGAATTGTTATAAAGGCGACTCATACTCACCAGTCATTGACCACAGGTGACAGTAATTGTTTGGCTAAATGAGTGCCAAATTCAAATCGCAATCGGGGCACGATTGCACCTTTGTAAATGTGTTTTGGTACAACAATATCAACAATGGATGTTCTGTACAGAATTCTGAATCCTCCTCACTCTCCCTCCGTTGGGACTGATCAAACCAGCATCAAACCGGAATTCCTCACGTGACTTTACGACCGGTTCCGGATTATTCCATACACGAGTGACGCGAAACAGCGGAATTCGTTGAACCACAGCCACCACAATTTTCCATGTTTTTTCTGAATAATTTTCTCTGTCACAGTAAAGTATTTTGTGATTGTCTTAAATGTCATGGAAAGAGTTATTTCAAAGTTCGTGTTGGGTGAGAGCCGTGCAGACAGAAAAAGTACACACACCGAACTCAAAGTGTACCAAAAAATCCTTATAAACGTATTGGTGATGTAAGTTTAAGGCGTTTTGTGTGCGCCATTAACCGTGTTTCAAGAATGCTCATGAATATAACTGTGTATATAAAAAACAAATATTCAGATTGACAACAATGGATTTTTGTGGAATACGGATAACCCCATTTAGACAGATATCGTTAGATTATAGATCCTAGTGTGTTTTTACATTACAAAATTACATTTATTTCAACTCCTACATGAAATTTGCACATCATGTTATAACTTATTAGGAACACCATTGCATTGAGGCCCGAACATTAAGATTGACAGGTTTGCTATGCTACAATAATAACAATGGTACCTACTAAACAAGAGTACAGTCTCCCCAAGACTTGGCTCAGTTCTTAGTTTTTCACCCTGATTAACCTATTCTGACCGGTTAGACTGATAATTTCAATTTTATCGCTACGGGTAAATATTTAAACTGTTTCGGAGAATTTCATTGGAAATTAGGACATAAAACACATGTTTCCGTCCGCATTTAATAAATGATAGCGGTAGCAATTTATCCAGGGAAATACTGGCCGCTACACAATACAGTCTTCAAAGTTATTGATAAGCATATATTTGGAGAGAGATAGAGAGACCAGAAGTATGAGAATCAGAAATACTGTTCAAGCAAGACAAGTGTCAGGATAATGATGTACTAACCGGAAGGCTGTACGCTCTACTATGCATTCTTGAACCCCAGTCTATTGTGCGTTTTACGTACGATAAAACATTTTCTGATCAGCAGATTAGTTCTGCAGTCCCGTAGTCCTCAGATGGTTTGCGTTCTTCAATAAGAACTAGTAACGACAAATACGAGCTGCAGTTTATTGTCCAAAGTTGAAACGTTTATTCACATGAATGAAACACATTATAACCAACAGAGCATATTTTGAGCATTCTGTATTCTTGATCTGTACCTGTTACATTAGTTGAACTTGTGAAACGGTCAGAAACAAACCCGAGACGTTTGCAACAGACAAAAAATACCCTTTCCAATAACAATAAGTACACCCTCAATTATCTAATGCAAAATATTCACAGAACAGTATGTTGATTTTATATGATGAAGGTTAGTTTATGGAGCAAAACACGGAAATTGAAATTGATCTCTCTCACTGATCGGGATGCTTGCTAGTAATTATTTGACAAAAGGCGTACAAAATAAACAAATAACATGGCTGTTTGTTCAATTTTCAAATAAAATGACTGATCATTGTCCTCGCTGAACATTTTTGTCTGGTTTGTCTGACTGAAGCCCTAGAAAGTTTGAGATGGTGCACGGCACGCGATATTTGCAACATCGGTGTACTCTCAAGTTGCGTTGGTCGCCGTCCGAGTGAACACTGCCATTTAACTGGATTTCCAATTTCATGTGAAAATATATCGTTTTGTGTATGTGTGACGCGTAGTAAACCCTTAGCAGCACAGCATTACACAGCACAGGAGTAAGGTTTTTTCGAATGCCTTACAAAAGACAAACATATTCCTGTACTTCTTGGATTTATTTATTCAATGAAAACTGAGAGTTGCGAATAAATATATAGTATACATGAGAAAGAAATGGTTTAATCCGTTATTGCGATTGGTGGAAAGTGCTCATTTATATTAACCTCGTGCGAAGACAGTTGAAGTAAATAGATATAACTTAGTTCCTTGGGAACACGACCTTTAACAACGCGTTTTTAACACATCCTCATGAAATGACCGTTCGCAGCTAAGTCAAGATATCTGAAATTTTAATCTCATCTCGTTACATCCACGTGCACAAGCTTGACAGTCTGTTTATTTGGATTACTCATTGTTCAGCAGTGTCAGACAATATATTTTTAAAAATTCTATCTTGCCTTATGACTCCGCTTACAGTTCACTTCCATTTAATCGTTTATCGTTGAGATAAGACACGCTTTTGGTTGACTACAATGCAGTTCTCTTTGGAGAAACGTGTTTAATGGGCTTGATCCGTGAGCGAATGGTTTACCCAGTCTAGTGATACAGAAAACCCAAAACAGAAATAATGTATCTGGATAAAATATATAAATGAAGTAAGATTGCTAGGGTTTTGCTGATACGATTGCTATTGTTCGATGGAGCCCCCCTGTGTCAGCAAAATGAAGTTTATGTTAGTCTACCTGTACCCTTGTGATATGGTTCTTTCACTCCTCCCTCTTTTGTGTTTTGTCTGTTTTCATGTGTTTTGCTTTACTTTGTTGCCATGCTAAAGCCCTATATAAGTATTGTATTTTCTGCAATGTGCCACATGTTGAGATTCAGCAAAATCGTCCTGGGACATAAATCGTGCAGTATTGCAATACGGTCTTTTCTTTTGAAATTACTTTCAGAAAAGGCTTGCTTTGGAAGTACTATGTGTCGCTTCAAAGAAATGTACAATTCAAACCTAAAATCAAATATTTGAACACCCGGTTCTGATGGATTCCATTTGCTTTGGTGAACGGTTTACTAAACTTCCAGTAGTTGACATAAAGTTTTGTTCCTGGGTGAAATTTGATTCACATCACTAAGGTTATAATGGAGGCAGAAACACGCATGTTGGAGACTACTCGGTAGATTATCAATCAAGTTGGAAACGTGAAAATAACTGGTACACCTTAGTTCATTATTGCTTTGGTGCGTAATCCATCGGACTTACAAGGTGAATGAATTTCCGCCTTATATTTCACCAATAACACTGGCTACCTTTACTATCTCCCAGGCGTCGCAACACAACAAATCTGCCATGGACAGACATCAAATGAAATATTATGCATAAT